ATTTTTGCAAGATAAATTGTTGAACCCTTACTCACTATGAAGCTGAAATAACACTTACAAAAAAAAAAAAAAAAACGATCGCTCAAAACCGCATGGTAAATAGGGATCTTTGAAAAAAAGTTGCAGGTCAATTTCAGAACTCACAAGTTCGTTTTTTTACCATTTTTTGTTGTTTCTCAACCACAAAATCAACCAAATGTTTCCCCGATTTGAATAAGCTATTATCAGCAACAGTATCAATATCAATTTTAATTTCATCCAATATTATTGCATTCCCATTTGAACTATCCTCTTTTCCACAGTTTTTTATTCCATCTTATAGTTGTATTGTGTGAAGAGGTTGGGGTTGTATCAGATTATGATTTATTAGCATTGGATTCTATATCAGGTAATCATATTACCACATTTTTTGTTCCATCATATTACTTCTATATCATTCAATAAGCCAATTCTAAATATAAATGTGGAAGATTGTTCCTGATCGATTTATCATTCAATTTATATATCCTAATCAAATTATTAGTCAATTAGAATCAAGTTAAAGACACATACATACATAAGTCAATTAAATAAACTCAAAGCAATAATAATAATAATAAAAAAGACAACACAGGAATATAGGGAATGAAATAAAAGAATCAATAAGAGAAAAAAATTGAAGCTTAGGGTTATGCCACTCGCTGACCTTCAACCTCGATATCAAGTAGAGTTGAATATATATTATGTTAACAATATTGATGGTCGTTAGGAATATGAAAACTAAGAATTAAGAGTGATTACCGTAGAGAGGATGTGACCGATTGTTGAATCAACGGGAGGGTCGATGATGATTTCCACCTAATCTCACTGAATGATGAATAAGAAGAAGAAGAGTGCATAACAAACTTTACATGTGAGAATCACAGCGTCTTGAAGACTTCTCGTCTTCAATTAGTGTTTTGAGAGATAAATGGAGCGAGAAAGGATTTTGAGAGATAGTAGGAGGAGGAGTGTGCTATAATATCAAGAAGAGAATTATTTGGAATTGAGAAATATCGAGAGAAATCAGGCACTTGCAGAGAATACGGGTGGACGAATCAAGTTTCCATTTTAATGGGATTTTAATTGAGTTTGAATTTTTTTGGTAGATCACGTTCCTGATTTTATGCATTGTGAGTTGAAATGATCAAAAGGGCAATTTCGGAATATCACTTAGACATTTTGAGCGGGAAAAATAACTTGGGGGAGGCTGAGAAATTGACACGTGGCAATTTGGTACTTATTTATTAGATTAGGGGATTACACCGAATTGGAAGCCATAAATGGCCCTGTTTAAGTTGGATGGTCTTCTTTATGATCTAATCTTTTATCCGGTAACTTTGTAACCAGTTTTAAACCAAGCCTGTGATCTTAATTCTTACAGATCATGTTTAAAAACCCAATTAATATACACTATACGTAAAGTTTCTGAAAGAAAAGAAAAAAATAGTGGCAAACAAAGCGTCAGTTAGGGGCTTTGGAGTACTATTGGAGGAAAATAAAGGTTAGCCATGTTTAATTTGGGGAATCTCAGTTCTTTGTCTTGGTAACCACCAATTATATTTGCACCAAGTATAAACGCAATTATCATTGCATTTAATACAAATGCATTGGATTTAACGGGTGTGACCTTTGATTTCCTGCTTTAACGATCGACGAGCTGCTCCCATTTAACGCGAAAATGGCATCAACACAACACTTTGCGACTATGGAGAACCTTCCAAGCGACGTTTTATCAGACATATTCATCAGATTATTGGGCAAACAGCTTGCTCAAATGAGGTCTGTTTGTAAATCTTGGAATGCTCTCTTATCTCAATCCTCTTTTATAAAATCCCACCTCCATCGTTCTGTCCATAACAATCATGAATTTCTCTTGTTCTATGAGAAGTGTGAAGCATTACACTTAGACTCTGAACCATTTACAGCACACCCATCTACATCTCCCCATGTGGAATTACCTGATTTTATCAAACTCCCAGCTAGTCTCCAGTCTAGAGGCGCCAATGTTATTGGGTCCGTTAATGGCTTAATCTGTTTGTATTACGGATTACGTAATCGTTTTGTTGTTCACATTTGGAACCCTTCCATATCTGCTGTGTCAACTCTCCCCCCATATTCTATGCCTTCCATTTGTGATGATCCGATCCGTATCCTTTTCCGGTTTGGTTTTGATCCCAAAAGTGATGACTACAAAGTTGTTAAGCTTGCAAGCTTTCTTCAACCACCCAGCTTCATGGACCCGATAGTGGCAGCCATACTAGGTACTAATTTTTTTGTAGTTAAAGAGTGGTTGCAAGTTGAAGTTTATAGCATGCGAAAAGGTTCATGGAAAGTAATCACTCAAAGATTTCCATCACACATCACAGGGATTACAAGAACAGATGAAGTTTGTGTAGATGGACATGATGGCCATCTTCATTGGCTTTGTTATGTTGATGAGAGCAAGGCACAAACAATAGTGGCATTTGATTTGGGTTTTGAGACATTCTGTGAAATTCCTGTTCCAGATTTTGTACGGGATTTCAGCTTGTATAAACGCTTTAATGCTTTAGGAGTTTTGGGTGGAAAGCTTTGTGTGATGTCATGTGTTGAAGATGGTGAATGTGAGGTGTGGGTGATGGATGAGTATGGGGTGGCTGACTCATGGGTGAAAAACCATGTCTTTTCACACTTTAGGGGTAATATTGATCCATATGGATTCACATTACACAACGAGTTTCTTTTTGATGCTTACAAAAATTATCTAGGTTTGTATATATGATCCAAATGCAGCAAAGGTTAAAATCTTCAAGATTACTGGTTATAAATTTTTTGGTGTAGCTAAAGTTGTTGATTATGTGGACAGCCTTGTTTGGGTAGCACCTGGTGAATGTGACACCAGATCATCTCTCGATTGCATATCTGAAAAGAGGCATCAGCTAGTAGAATGGTGAATGCTCAAAAGGGATTCAAAAGAAAAGACATGATCAGCTTTTGTTTATTTTTCTTTTATTAGAACTACTTTGCATGATCATGTTATGTTTCTTAACTAGATTTATGTCAGGATTCATTCTTTAGTGCATTACATCTAGATTCTCTTTTGTCAGCATGATGAGTTTGACATGGTGGTTCAAATTAAGTTTTTGCTGTTTTGTATCCATATAGCTTTACCTTCTTTTGTTCATTACATTCTGATTCTCTTCTTTTTGGTTTTTGTGAAATTGTCCATTGGAGAGTTGGATGCAAGGGCATCAGAGTCTTTTTCCAGAAATTTCCATTAGCACATGACAAGATCTTTCTGGTAGTCATACTTATAGTACATGCTAGTGTTGGAATCTCAAGTCTTTCCAAATCTTTAGATTAGCACAAAACAAGCTCTCTTATAAGGCAACCGCTGCTTTTTATTTTGAATTGCAAAGCTGATAGTCATGCAACGCACCATGGTCAAATCTATAAATGAAGAATCATAAAAGGGCCTCAAGCAAATATCAAATCCACTTTGCACTCAAACTGAAACATAATAGAATTTCACCTAGTGCACAAGAATTGAAAAACACACAAACAAAGTATTTTTCCAACTCATTGAGTAAAATTCACGCAAAACAAAAGCCAGCCAATGATTGAATGAACCAAATATCACAGGAAGTAGTGGAACCATAGTAAATTGTAAAACCCGGTGGAACCTTTCCCTAGAAAACAAAAGCTCACTTCAACCCTGTACAATTTAAACAATACCAAAAAACTCACACCAAGTTTAAACATTTGGAGACATGTAATGTATACAAAATGTATGATTTTCAAGAAACTTTGGTTAGAATATGTAGTGCAAATTCAACTCAATGTGCATGGCTAGACGATGATGGTCATAAAAATCGATGTATAATTGAGAGATGAATGAAAACCATCAAAAACACCACCTATGTATATGATTATAAGATGAATGGTGTCATCAACATACAAGATAAGACCTATACATGTAGTGAATGTGAATACTCTGGTATACCATGTGGTCACATGATAACAATATTGAAATCATCAAAGATTTACACATTGTCACAAATTGGTTAACTTTTTTCACAACAGAGTTGTATCCAGCTACATACACAAACTTTGTGTATTCCGTTCCAATTCTCTCGGAACGGGAAACGCCAGATCAAGTGATCGTAGTTAAACCATTGATACGCCCTCCATATTCTTGATATGAAGTAACAGATTCACAGCAACAAAACACTCAACAATACCAGAAAATTAGGATAGAATTCTCATTCATTCGAGAGGAAGGGACTCTACAAAAGAAGAATAAAGTTCTTTACAAATCAATTCTTAGCTACTGACTCTCTAAAACAAAAGGACTATATATACTACCACTAGAGACGAGGCAAAAGGGAATAACAGCCAACATAATCAGGTGTTGTTCCCACTAACAAAACAGCCAATAACAGCCATAATTGGCTGTAGACTCACTAATAGGAAAATAAATAGATAAAAGACAGAAATACCCCTATGCTATAAACCAGTAAAGTTGGGGCTTATCAACCATGCCAAGTTGAACGACAATGAAACCATGATCGCGTTAGTCAAAATATCTTATGTTTGATTAAAATAACTCGTAGAATTGTAATTTTTATCAAATCAAATTGTTATTTAGTGTTAACAAAGTCAACATTGTCGTGTTATTCATTTAAAATTGTATCATACCTCAAATATCATACTATTTATTTGATTAATAAATAAGATCGATGGAAGGGATAGGTTAAACACATAACCAAATTACATCACCTAACCACACAACCACCTTCATGACCATGAGATTAGATTTAAGGCAAAAAGGTACGATGGTAAAAAAAAAATAACAATAAACTAAATCAGACGCTACAACATATCCATTTTCTAATTTTGCTTCAATTCATGTTCATAAATGAACATATGTTAATATTACATAAACTTCATACTTACAGCTCATGAAAATAGTATAGATTTACATTAATATACATAATTCATACATGGGAAGATAGAGAAAATTCATACAATAATACGAATCCGTGTTCATATATGAACATATGTCATATCTGAACATAAGTTCATATCTAAAATAAGCATACAGAAAGGTGGATGATGAAATTCATTTATGAAGATATCAACGAATCATGAAATCAAAACATATTCCACTAAGTTCATATTTACATTAACATAAATATATGTTCATATTTGAACTTATATTCATAAGTGAACATATGTTCATATTCATCAACTTACATAACCACTGGCTAGGGTTGACTCAAGACAAACGATCTTTAATGGCTCCATTCCGTTAGCAATTGGAAGAAATACCTATAATTAAAATCAAAATCATATTCCCATCAAGATCATATTTTCATTAACATAAAATATATGTTAATATATGAACATATGTTCATAAATGAACATAAGTTCATATTCTTTATATTTATAGAACCACCGGCTAGGTTGACTCAAGACAATCGAACTTCAAATAATTTATGCACCAGATCATATTTACATTAACATAAACATATGCTAATATATAAACATATGTTCATATATGTACACACACACATTCATAAATGAACATATATTCCCATCATTTAAGAAAGGTATCTCATTGTATATTTATTGATAAAGAAAATTTAAGGGTGGTAATATAATGGAGTTTACCTGAAGTGGAAAAGGACAATAATGCACAACAATGAAAGCCCTTGACTGAGGTGAAAGATAGAAAATTACAACAATGTTACCAATTCAATTCATCACTTGATGTATAATGGCTAATGGGAGTTACTTCTAAGATAGATGAGGAAGTGTTACCTGCATGCTAAGCAATCTGAGAGTGGTGTTTTACTGGACCTGTATGAAGAGTTTCTTTAACAAGTTTTGTTTTTGCCAACTTCTGTTCAAGGAAAAGCACTTGGTGAATAACAATAGTCATATATGTAATACAACCTACTGCTTGTCTGTTCTTATGGTTGCTGAAATCACAAGCTAAAACTGTTGGTGTGCGTTAATATAAGAGATGGAAAAAATTACCTGTAACATTTCTATAATTAAAATCAGCAAGTCCTTTTCCTATAGAATTCTGCTAATAATAGGGGGAGACATCTGTTCCTCTAGCAAGGAATCCAAGTCTTGTGAAATCATATGCCATTTCAGCATAATCTTCATTTGCAGCATGGACAACATCATCGATTAAAACTTGTTTGTTTTGCTGAACAAAAACAAACAAAACCAAATTCATACTAAGAAACACTAACAAAAGTAGATTAAGGTAAATGGTCTTCTAAGTTAAATTTGTTACACAGGACAAGAGAGAAAGAATCCTTGAAATGTTAAAAACAGAGTAGAACATCACTTTTAGGGCCTTATAATTTGAAATTACCCAAACTAGGGAAGAGAAAGGAACAAAGCAGAAATTGAATTACCTCCAATTGAAGAACAACATCGGTTTGATCTTCAGATTTTAAACCGTCAGTTACAAAAATCAACGAATTTCAGATGAATAAGAAGGAAATGAGACAGATCATGAAGAACATTAACAATGCAACAAAAGTGTTGGATTTCAATCGAGTGGTCGATGATGGAAGCTAGTGAAGAGAGAGATGATATTTAAGATATTTTCTCTAGGGTTTCGGAGGTTGAGATTATGGATTTAGAAACGCCGACAAGGAACAATTCGCCACCGGTAGTGGAGTAGAACACCGACCTCAAACGATGGCGTCATCGATTTGGCCTCCAGTTTTCCTGATTTGGCCTCCGATTTGGCCGAATGCATAATAGGAATGTAGGTGAGATGCCGATTGAATCATTTTCTCCTCCATTTGTTTGATAGTTCCTTCCAGTTGTCCGATTTAGCCTTTGATTCCACCAATTTTAACTTTTCAGATGGCATAGGAGACGAAACATTCCTCCATGACCTATCCGATGAAGAAGCAGCTAAAGTATTTGAAAGCTGAAATTGCAACCCAGAGCTAAGTCGGCCTTCGTGTGGGGTAGAGAAGAGAGGTCGTGATGGTTGTGGCTGAGGAGAATTGTGAAGACATGGGCAACTTAAAGGGCGGTGTTATAATCAAGAGAACACTTGTTAAGAAGAGAGAGATAGAGAGAATTTGTGTTATAACAAGCGGTGTTATAATAAGAGGAGGGGTGGATAGAGAGAGAATTTGTGCAGCTAATAAAATATCACGTTTCATCTAGTCGTTTCATCTAGTCATGGTGAGACAAGCCTAATACACACCAGCCCAACAGATGACCACCAAAGGCCCAAACGCACCATCCGGAAGCTGCTCGATTCTTGGACTGATGACATGCAAAAGAAGAGGTCAAAAGTGGTTTAAGTCATTCCCACTTTTTAGTATTAGTGGCTAGTTTATAGCTCACGTGAGTAGTTAGCATAAGGTCCATGACCAATTTCAATTCCTAGTTTTCAGTTAGTAGTTTGCATATTTAAATTCAATGTAATTTCCATTTGAAGGTATGAAAAAAAACAACGAAAATTGCTCCACTTCTTGATCTGAATTCTGGGAGATTTGCCTTCTCAAAACGGCATACATCAATTTGGTGCTTTCATCATGCCTCCTAAAGCTGAAAACAAACCCGACGAACCCCTTACTACCAATGAACAACTTGCCGCCCTGATCCACCTTACCACCGCCACCAACCATCGCCTTGATACACTGACCACCAACATGAACACTCTCATAACCCTCTTCACCAATCAGGCTCAAAACCAACCCCCACAGCCATTACAGCCACAACACCACCAACCTCGACCCCCCAAAATCTCTCTCCCCAATTTCGATGGCTCCAACCCGTTAGACTGGATCTTCCAAGCTAACAATTATTTTGATTACTATAACATGCCAAATAATCAAAGACTTCCCTTGGCTGTGTTTTACTTTACCGGTGAAGCCCTCAGTTGGTACAAACATCTAGCAAGCAATCAATTACTCACCACCTGGTCGGACTTTTGTCGCGCTCTGGAACTCCGTTTTGGTCCGTCCTCCTATGAGAACCACCAAGCGAACCTGTTTAAACTAAAGCAAACCTCCATTGTGGCAGCCTACCAAGCCGAATTTGAAAAGCTCAGCAATCGAGTGGATGGCTTAACCCCCGAGGCCATTCGAAACTGTTTCATCTCCGGGCTTCGCCAGGATATTCAGAACGAAATTGCCATCCAACATCCCACCTCTCTTCATTAAACGTATGGCCTCGCCAAACTGATTGAAGAAAAACTCACATCCAAATTCTGTTCTCCGACTTCTAGGTCCTACTCCAACTCGTTCCCAAGCCCAACTTCCACTTCCTCATCAACACCCCCTCCGAACAACACTACTACCTCCCCGCTCATCACCACGCCCCCACCACAAACCACCCTCCCCTTTACCAGGCTATCACAAGACGCCCTCCAGAAGCGACGTGCAGAAGGGCTATGTTTCAGATGCCCAGCCAAATACAGCCCAGGACACAAGTGTAATCCCCCCCCCCAATTCCTGATGATTGTCGAGAATGAGGAAGACCCAATACCCGATGCCACCGTGACCGTGACTACTGACACCACCACCACCCAATCACCGCCGGACCAATTTCTGTCCCTCTCGACTGCGGCCTTCTATGGCTTGGACTCCCCACAAGCTTTGCGGGTTACCGGGTACATAAACAACCACCCCGTCAAAATCCTTATCGATTCCGGCAGCAACCATAATATTATTCAACCGAGAATTGTCACGGCCTTACAACTTCCTCACGATGCCATTCCAGCATTTTCCGTCATGGTGGGCAGTGGAGACTTTCTTCAATGTGCTGGCAAATGTCCGGCCCTAGAACTCCACCTCCAGAAGACGCTATTCACGATTCCCTTCTTTATTCTCCCAGCAGAAGGGGCCGATGTGATATTGGGTATGGCCTGGTTGAGCACTTTAGGCCCAATACTAGCAGACTTCTCTATTCCCCAACTCACTTTTCATAATGGCCCACATGTTATCACCCTAAAAGGCGAACCATTGGCAAGCCACGCCTCACCTTCTCACGTTCAGTCACTCCTCCATAAACAAAGCGTGGCTTCCCTTCATGCTTTATATTTCCAGTTCGAACCTCACAGCCCACAACCGGAGCCATCAGCCATCACACATGCCAATCCCACAGTCGCTGCTCTCCTGGACCACTACCACACCATTTTCGACATACCCACCTCCCTTCCCCCATGTCGCAACACGGATCACCACATCCCAACACTCCCAACAGCCGCACCTGTCAAAGTTAAGCCATATCGATACCCCCATTACCATAAACAGATAATGACCACCCTAATCAACGACATGCTTGCCGACGGCATCATCAAACCAAGTACCAGTCCTTATTCATCCCCGGGTCTATTGATACGCAAAAAAGATGGCACCTGGAGGTTTTGTGTGGATTACCGTGCCCTCAACGCCATTACGGTCAAAGACCGTTTTCCCATCCATACGGTCGATGAGTTGTTAGATGAACTACATGGAGCCACGGTCTTCTCCAAAATCGACCTGCGTGCAGGGTACCATCAAATCCGGGTTGCTTCAGAGGACACCCACAAAACAGCGTTCCGCACAATTGATGGCCATTATGAGTTCCTTGTCATGCCATTCGGGCTCTCCAACGCCCCATCTACCTTCCAAGCAACGATGAATGTGTTGTTCTGCGATGCCCTCCGTCAATATGTCCTCGTCTTTTTTGACGACATCTTAATCTACAGTTCATCTCTGGCTCACCACTATCACCATCTGGAACAGGTTTTTCTCAAATTGTCCCAACATCACTTCAAGGCTAAACAGTCCAAGTGCACTTTTGCAGTCGATACTATTAGCTACTTAGGACATATCATCACTCCTCATGGAGTCCAGGCGGACCCAGAAAAGCTGGTGGCAATCCAGAATTGGCCTCAACCAAAGAATTTAACTCAGTTACGAGGGTTTCTGGGACTTACAGGGTATTACAGGCGGTTTGTTCAAAGTTATGCCACAATCGCTGCAGGTCTTACTGATTTACTCAGGAACACAACATTTGAATGGACAGCACACGCTACCACTTCATTCCACCAGCTCAAAGCAGCCATGTCCTCCCTCATTACACTTGCGCTTCCTAACTTCACGAAGCCCTTTGAAGTTACCACAGATGCATCCAGCATCGCCATTGGCGCCGTCTTATCACAAGATGACCATCCCATCGCCTTCTTTAGCAAGCGCTTTTGCCCACGCATGCAGGTCGCCTCCGCCTACGTCCGAGAACTCTTCGTCATTACAGAGGCTGTCAAAAAATGGCGCCAATATTTGATTGGACGCAAATTCCACATCTACACGGATCAGCGCAGTCTCAAACACTTACTATCTCAGGTGGTCCAAACTCCCGAACAATATAAGTGGGCAACCAAGCTTCTCGGCTATGAATTCGATATCATCTACAAACCAGGCAAAGAAAATATCGTGGCAGACGCCCTCAGTCGCATCGACCAACCACAACTTCTTGCACTCTCAACGACGGATCCATCTTGGCTGGTTGCACTAAGAACCTACTACCCCCCCCCCCCCCACGGGAAAAACTATCTTACAAAAGATCCTTCAACACCCAGACAGGGCCACCAAATTTCAATTCAGGGACGGGTTACTCTACCACAACCAACGCCTTTACATCCCTGAAGACGCACCCATAAGGCAACAGCTCCTCCATGAGTATCACTCAACGCCCTTAGGGGGTCATTCGGGCATTCTTCCTACCATAAAACGCATCACATCTACTTTTGTCTGGCCCAAGCTCAAGTCAGATGTTACACTGATCATCCGGCAGTGCTCCACTTGTCAACAAATAAAGTCCCCAACGCATAAACCTTATGGTTTACTTCAGCCCCTACCTATACCGTCCACAGTTTGGCAGGACATAACGATGGACTTTATTACCCACTTACCCCTATCAGCAGGAACAACAGCCATATGGGTCATCGTGGACCGCTTCTCCAAAACTGCCCATTTTATTGCTTTGCCTACTAATTTTGGTGCAGCGACATTAGCGACTCTATTCCTCCAAAACATCTATAAGCTCCATGGCCTGCCCAAAAGCATAGTCTCAGATCGTGATTCCATATTCCTTAGCTCATTTTGGAAGGAACTATTCAAGCAATTGGGCACCTCCTTGAAGTATTCCACTGCATATCACCCACAATCGGATGGCCAAACAGAGGTTGTGAACAGATGCCTCCAAAACTATTTGCGGGCCTTTGCAAGTGATGACCCTCACACCTGGTCCAAATTTCTGTACTCAGCAAAATTCTGGTATAATTCATCATATCACAGTGCCATTGCCATGCCTCCATTCCAAGCTCTATATGGCCAACAGATCCCAGACCTCAATCGCTACCAGTCCGGGACCTCCAACACCACCTCCATTGATGCAGCACTTACGGAGCTCCAGCGCCTTCGCACAGTTCTAAAAGATAACCTTTACAGGGCTCAACAACGGATGGCCACTTTGGCAAACACACACAGGCTTGATAAGGAATTCCAAGTAGGTGACATGGTTTACTTACGACTCAAAGAATATCGCCAAAAGACTATTCACTCCCGGGATACAAAAAAGTTAACCAAACGATATTTCGGGCCCTTTAAAGTCCTGGAGAGAATTGGAAAAGTCGCCTACCGCCTTCAGTTACCACCAGAGTCTCGAATTCATCCAGTGTTCCATGTTTCATTGCTTCGCCAGGCTTATGGGAACCCGACACCGACTCCATTACCACAGTGGGAAGCGCCC